AAGCCACTGAGTCAGCCCCCATATTTTACGGAGAAGCAAATGAAATCCCCGTCGATTTAGACCTTTTGGCTCAGCCCTACTTCTGAAAAACCTGTTCCCTGAAAGTCTGGTTCATCAATCCAATGTGCAGTCTGTCTGTTTCTGCCTGGGTGCTGGCTTGGAGGGCAGACGCCTCTGCAAGCTGAAACCCGGGTTGAATTCCTGGTTGGCAACCACCAGAGAGAAGGCGGGCTTCCCAGTCTTGGGTCTCCCTCTAACTAAATGGCGCCATCTCTGGGCACCGGTGGAGAATCACCTGGGAAAGGAGAGTATTGTCTTTCCCCCGGGACTGGAGCCAAGTGAGCAGCATTCAGAAGGTAGTTTAGAAAAAGGAGGACCGGGTATGCTTAGCTTTCTTAACGCCACTGATTTCCTCAGGGGCTCTGGGAACTTTCCCAGTTTTCTGACAGAATTATTTTTCTCCCTAAATTTCAGAAAAGGAAAGAAGAATATCATCTATTTTTTTTAATTGTGCTTTAGATGAAGGTTTACAGAACAAGTTAGTTTCTCATTAAACAATTAATACACATATTGTTTTGTGACATTGGTTGCCAACCCTGTGATGTGTCAACACTCTCCCCTGCTTGACCTTGGGTATCATCTATTCTTTACTGTGGAAAGGAGTTTGAACTTCAGGAAGGTAATGAGGAGTCATTGAAGACTATTAAGCCAGGGTAACACAACCAGAGTAAGAAATGGTGGCCTGAACTGAGGTCATGGCAGTGACAGATTTTTTGAGATATTTAGGCAGTAAAAGCCACAAGTCTTGGTGGTTGATTGGATGGGGGAAGGTAGAGTTGATAAGAATGACTCATAGGTCTCTCATTGGGCAACTGGGTGGACCTGGTGCCATATTCAGAGAGGACAGTGGAGGAGGTAGCTTTGGGGAATGAGATAATGAGTTCCGGAATTCAAGAGTTGGGCAACCAGAATGAGAAAAGTTAAACGATGGAAGATTATAGTTTATGGTTCTATGTAGAGACTCCATGTACAAAGTATATTCGAGTGGAACATTGTTTCAAGAGAAATTCTGGTTTTATAGAAGAGATAGGCAAAGGATAACTTGATCATGCTTACTGCTTCACACACTGTGATTCGTTTCACAGGAATACTAATCTGAGTGATGCATGTGGGTTTCCTCTGTAACTTTTTATAGAGTTCAGCAGGGATGATTTTGGGCGTCTATATTAGCTAATAAAGGGATAACGGGAGACATTCTAGCATGCATTCTCTTCCATATGGTGACTGAAATAGACAATTTTCCCTAAGGATTTTACTAAATGGGGGGAAAAATAGATGCCCTTTCTTTTCTTTTTTTAATCCCCTTTTCCAGAATGACCTTGCCCTTGGGCCCATATCTTAAGGGTGGGAATTTGTGTGGAGAAACGCAATCGGAGTGTTGAGAGCATTTAAAGCAAATGTTTTCCATCTCCATGAGAATTGCTGAGGAACAAGCTTATGTGGGAAAGGGAAGAATTTAGGAGTGACATAAAGAAAGCTTTCTTAAGGAGCAAATTTGGAAGGCAAGCTGTGGAATTGAATTCTGGGAAGACCAGAATAGAAGAGACAGGAGGCCTCCGGGGATCCTTGGCAGTAGGTGCCTGGAGACCCATTAAAAGGAAAGTCATATTTCTGCATATTACTTTGAATTTCCTCCTGTCAAATGCGAGGCCCAAACAAAATCCCTGTTCTCTCAAATATTCTAGGTGCCACTTAACTCGCTCAAGGATAAGGTGGCCAAAGTTAGAATATCATCGTGTTTCAGCAGTTTGAGAATCAAGAGATTGAAATTCTAGCCCCAGTTCAGTTTCTGACCCTTGGTAACCTTGAGCAAGTCACTTCACTTTTTCAGGCCTCAGTTTCCTCATCTGCAAGATGAGTAAGAATTAATTGTACCTCATGGGGTTTTGAGGGCTTAAACGTGGTATTGCATGTAAAGTTGTTAGCACAGGGCCTGACACATGGGTAGCGCTCAGCGAAAGTCAGCTGTGGCCATTGTTATAACGGCTGTTCACCTACGTTTCTGGAAGAATAAATTAGTGTGAAGTCTTTAAAAATTAAAAGGTACTATGCAAAAGCTGTGATGCTATCAATGACTATTATTAGTAATAGGCTCATAATTACTTTTGCTACAGTATTCAGTGAGAGCCCCTTTGGGTGGTGATGACTGGGAAAACGGGAACGATTATTAATGGAGCTGCCAGCTCCTGTTACTAGATCCATTGACATAATATTTCTCTCTGGGAATCCTTTGACAAATCAGCTGAATTTCCTATTCCCTTGCCCTAAGCACTGTAAATTTGATCCACATGTCCCCAGTGTTGTTTCTGTAGGTTAATAATGGAGAAAAGAGGAGGAGCGGGGCCTGCACTAGGCCTCTGGGTGAGTATAGAAACTCTCCCAGCTGTTTGGTCTGTCTGTGGGTTTTCTCTTGTAGTGGGGTAGTTTTCTCTTCAGTTTTACTTTTTTGGTGCTTAGAGCCAGCTCGTCCTAATGTGTTTGGTTACTCAGCTGTCAGGGAGGGTTTCTGCGTTAGGGAACGGGGCCTCCAGCTAGGGGAGGGAAGGGGACCCCACATGCTCCCTTCTCCTCCCACAGAGATAAACTTGGAGGATGTGCTTTGATGCGGCGCTTTGCTTTGCCGAGTCAGCTCCGGATGTGATGGGAGGGGTAGCTGCCATCCACGAGAGTAGATGAGGCTCAGAGGGGTAGGCCTCCACCACACCAAGGCAGCAGCTCTGGGGCAGAGCACAGTGAGGCTGCATGGAGGAGAAGGTCAGGGGAAGGGCAGGCTAAGGGCAGTATTGATCTTCCTACATATTGACCTTTGACCTACAGAGTGGTCAAAGAACACTGCCAGCACCTGGGCAGGAGGTGGACTGCCACGTGTGTTTGCCCCAAGAAAGAGTAGCAGGCAAGGCTCAGCATGGGGGTAGCCGTGAGCTCAACAGGCAGTAGTGATACAGCAGGTAGTGACTCATGCACAAGCCACCAAGTAGAGACAGCTATGGGTAGGCCTTGGTGGGGTTTTCAGCGTCCTCTGGGCTTGTAGAGAGAGTCCCTGGGTAGAGCACAGTTAACATGCCTGGCTGCTAACTGAAAGGTTGGCAGTTCAAGTCCACCTAGAGATGCCTTGAAAAAAAAGACCTGGTGATCTACTGCCGAAAAATCAGCCATTGAAAACCCTGTGGAGTACAGTTCTACTCTTGACACACGTAGGGTCACCATGAGTTGGAGTCAACTCAATGGCAACTTGTTAAGTGTACACATTCTACAGCCAGTCAGACCTGGATTTGAATCCTAGCTCTACCACTTACTTGAGCAAGTTATTCAAACTCTCTGAATGTCCCCATCACCCACTGCCATCGAGTTGATTCCGGCTCATAGCAACCCTATAGGACAGAGTAGAACTGCCCCATTTCCTAGGCCAAAATCTTTACTGAAGGAGATTGCCAGGTCTTTTTTCCCACGGAGCAGCTGGTGGGTTTGAACCACTGAACTTTCAGGTAGCAGCTGAGTGCCAACCATTGCACCACCAGGGCTCCTAAATGAGGCATAGAGAGGCTAAGTAACTTGCCCAGGATCACACTGTTGGTTAAGTGGCAGAGCCAGAATTACAAACTCAAATATTCGGGCTTCAAGCCCCTGTCTTAACCACTCTCCTGCACACCCTATTGCTATTATTATTGTAGCTAAATCTCTTCTATACAGGATAGGTAATTCTAACTTAGATTTGGCCACATCCCAGGGGCTCTCCAGTTATCTCAAGGAATTTTAAGAGATTTTCCCAAACATGATAGATTAAATTCCTGTGAGTATTTTTCTTAAAAAAGAAGTTTTAGGGGGTTCGACAAAGAAGCAGCATCCATCAAAGAAAGAGCAGTTACCAAAAGTTGAGAATCCCTGTTCTAGGCTCTGATTGTTACTAAAATCTCGGTGGCCACGTGCTTTTGTGAACTAGCATGTAATTTTAAACCTGTCTGATTTCGCTTTTCTGGTGCTTTCTAAGAAGCCACACAGCGAGTTGGAGAAATGTACAAGCTGTTACCCTCTGGAATTGATTCTGACAGTTCTGTTCCTCTGTTGTTGAAGTGTTAATGAAAAGCACTAATTGGACTTGGCCAGGAGCTGGGACATACCCCTTCTTGTTGTGAGAAGGCAGCACCGCTTTCTCTTGGCCTGAAGAAGGAGAGAGGGGGCGGCATGGGGAAGTGAGAGGACTCTGAAGGTGACGTGGCCCTTGCGCTGGCAGGGTGGGCATTTACATCTGAGTCAGCCCATCTCCTGAGCTCCATGAAGACAAAGCCAGGTCACTCTGTGACCTCCAAACCTGGGCCAAGTCAGGCATTCTAAATAGTCACTGAATGAAGAAGTGAGTGAGTAAATGAATGAATGCTTTCTTAGCCCATGAGCCTAAGTAGGCCGGTTCCTTGTGCAGCTCCAAGAAAGAGCACTCTCGATGGCATCATCCTGCAATTTGCTGTCAGTGCTCAGTATTCCATTGAGATTTATCCACGTTGATGCAAGTAACTCATACTCTTTCATTTGCAGTAGTGTAGTAATTACTGTGTGAAGACATCAACATTCATGTTTTCATTCTCCTCATGAAGGGCATTTAGGCTGCCCCACACCCCCATTTTCTTTTTTTAGTGCCTGGCACATGGTTATTGCTTCATAAATATTACTGAATGAAAAAGAGGAAGAGAGAGGCAGAGAGAGGGAAGAAGGAAGGAAGGTAAGGAGGTAAGTCAGTCTCCATTTGCTTAAAACCACAGCTACAAGTGGGCCACACAGCACCGTCCTCAGTAAAAAGTTCCATGTCCTAAAGGCTAAAAGAGATTTGCCTGCTGACCTGCTCTCCCAGACGAAGGGGAGCAGGGCCAAGACCTGGCCACCATGGGCTGAGGCCTGGGGAGATTTTCCTCCTTCCGAAGTGTGACCTGTCCACTTTGTTTCCCCAGGTGTACTCTCCCTCCCCGCATACTTCAGTCCCTACAACGGCGGGTCCTTGGGCCATGACGAGCGGGCCGATGCCTACGCCCAGCTGGAGCTCCGGACCCTGGAGCAATCTCTCCTGGCCACCTGCGTGGGGAGCATCTCAGAGCTGAGTAAGTGTGGCAGCCATGTCCAGCAAGGGGAGAAGGCAGGGAAGGGATTGCCTTCTGGGTTCTAGTCTGTTCCTCTTAATCCACACTCTTGCCTTCCCTGAAATCTAGATCCTTCTAGGCCAGAGGTGGCAGACTGGGGGTCCACAGACATGTATGGTTTGGCAAGCATGTTGACTTCATCTCACGCAAATCTGGCTTTCTGGTCTCTTGAAAAATCAGATGATCTAGCAGCATTGCGCCCATTCCTCCATGGCAGCCATCAGTGGAAGCTAAGTGGACAGACTTGAATTACTCACTTTGCTGCAGACCTTGCTATCTGACAGCTGGCCTACTTCATTCGTTTCACCTGCCTAGCCAAAACCCATTAGCCAGTTGCCATCAAGTTGATTCCCGCCTCATAGCAACCCCATGTGTGTCAGAGTAGACCTATGCTCCATAGGGTTTTCAATGACTCATATTTTGGAAGTAGATTGCCAGATCTTTCTTATAAGGCATATCTGAGTGGACTCAAACCTCTAACCTTTCAGTTAGCAGCTGAGTGTGTTAACTGTTTGCACCACCCAGGGACTCCACCTGGCTGAAAGGCTCTGCATTTACAGCCAATACTCTTTTTTGAAAGAAATTACCCTCAAAACTTTAATATATAAAAGGAGATAAAAACAGAGCTACTCTGAGCATGTGGGGTCTTAAAATCTTGTGAGCAGCCATCTCAGGTATTCCACTGGTCCCACCCCATCTGGAGCAAGGGAGAATGAAGAAAATCAAAGACACAAGGGAAAGATTAGTCCAAAGGTCTAATGGACCACAGCAACCACAGCCTCCACCAGGCTGAGAACAGCACAACTAGATGGTGCCCAGCTACCACCACCGACTGCTCTGACAGGGATCACAATAGAGGATCCCGGGCAGCGCTGGAGATAAATGTAGAACAAAATTCTAACTCACAAAAAAAGACAGACTTACTGGTCTGACAGAGACTGGAAAAACCCTGAAAGTATGGCGCCTGGATACCCTTTTAACTCAGTACTGAAGTCACTCCTGAGGTTCACCCTTCAGCCGAAGATTAGACAGGCCCATGAAACAAAATGAGACTAAATGGGCACACTGGCCCAGGGGCAAGGACTGGAAGACAGGAGGGGACAGGAAAGTTGGTAATGCGGAACCCAAGGTTGAGAAGGGGAGAGCGTTGACATGTCATGGGGTTGACAACCAGTGTCACAAAACAATATGTGTATTAATTGTTTAATGAGAAACTAGTTTGCTCTGTAAACCTTCATCTGAAGTACAATTTAAAAAAAAAAGCTACTCTGGCTGGAAGAGGGCATGGTCAGGTGGGTCCTGCCCCTCTACAGTGCTCAGTCCTAGACCTGCAGGGACCTGGGCATCTCCCAGGACCTTAGCATTCTGTGGAACACAGGTTGAACCTACTGGTCTAGGTCATTACTATTTGACAGCTGCTTCACGAGCACGTTAGAAGACATGAAATTCCACCCTTCTCCTGGTCTCTCCGTCTCATTACCCCAATTATTTGAGAAATCACCCCACATACTCTGCCTCCTTAGTTCTCCCTCTTTCTGTCTTGAGAACAGCCAGTAGGAGGGCAGTGACATATTCCAAGAGTCGTGGCAGACAGTATGGGAAGAGACAGAGTGTCACTCCGCTCCACCCTTCTCCATTTGTGATTTCCTTGCATTTTCTGGGCCCTGAACAGTGATAACAAACCTTGCTATTTCTTTAGGATGTGGCTTCCTCTCTCCCTCCATTCTTCTCCTCCGTTCCCAGAATAGGAAATGAGGGTGCCTAGTTCAGGGTCGCAGAGCTGTTCCATACAGGGACAAGGAGAGAAAGTGAGATCCAGCTCTCCGTCTCCTGGCTGCATCACAACAGTCAGGGTTGGCATGGCCACCTGGGTCACCAGCCCCCTGTAAGGGGCCCTGCAGGAAGTGGGCTCAGGGTGTGGCTTGGTTTCAGCTCCTGACAGATGTCCCCTCAGACTGTCTTTGGGGCCATGAAGAGTCTAGGTTTCCTTGAACTCTCTCTCAGTCCACTGGAGAACACCTTGGTTTAATTTTGCTTTTTTGAGCATTAATTGAGCGCTAACTTTGTGCACAGCACCATACGTGGCATCTTATTCACATTATCTCATTCATTTCTCAGAACAACTCGGTGAGGTGTGTCCTAATGAGGAAACCAAGGCTTAGGAAGATATGTCATTTCCCAGAGTCAGAGCGGGGGCTTGACTCCTGATGTGCCTGGCTTCTGCAGCCACACACTTAATCGCTTAGCGGCATGGGCTTCCTAGACGTTGTTAGTAGCCCAGCCACCAGCATCTCAGGGCAGGAAAGGTCAAGATGGGACTCTGACCTTTGCTTTTTCTCATGGTGACCTCCATGCCCGTTACAGTCCACAGTCTAGCACAAGGGGAGCAGCATCTCAGCATTGAAAACATTCCTTCAGGGGAATTCTGTTCTTACCACTCAGCCCAGGAACCAAGTCCTATTGGTTCTACCTTCTAAATTTCCCCAGAGTTTTAGTTTGCCCCTTTTACCACCTCCACTGCTCCCAACTTCACCCAAGCCAAGGCTGTTTAAAACATACTGGATCATGTCACTCGTCTTGTCAACACCCTGCCCCCTTCCCCAATCAGCTCATTCAGTAAATGCCAAAATCCTCACCACGACCTTAGGTCCAATATACGATCTAGTTTCATCGCCCACCACTCTTGTTGACCACACTCCAGCCACCCCGGCTTCCTGGCCACGTCTTCTACCACTTCACTTGCCCTAGCTATTCCCTCTGCCTGTGACATCTCCCCCCACCCTAGATACCCAAATAAATTGCACCTTCATTTTCTTCAAGTCTCTGCCCAAATGGCACCTTATCAGACAGGATTTCTCTGTCAAAATGAGTACCTCACCCTCATTAGTCTGTCTCCCCTCTTTTGGCTTTGGTTTTATTCTGTCTTCCCTCTTTTGGCTTTGGTTTTATTCAAAACACTTGTTATGGATTGAATTATGTCCCCCAAAAATGTGTGTCAATTTGGCTAGGCCATGATTCCCAGTATTGTGTAGTTGTCTACCATTTTGTGATCTGATGTGATTATCCTATGTGTTGTAAATCCTAAACTCTATGGTGTTAATGAGGCAGTATTAGAGACAGTTGTGTTAATGAGGCAGGACTCAACCTACAGGATTGGGTTGTATCTTGAGTCAGTCTCTTTTGAGATATAAAAGAGATCATCAGGCAGAGAGGAGAGGGACCTCATACCACCAACAAAGGAGAGCCGGGAGCACAACGCGTCCTTTGGACCTGGTGTCCCTGCACTGAGAAACTCCTAGACCAGGGGAAGACTGATGACAAGGACCTTTCCCCAGAACCAGCATGGAGAAAAAGCCTTCCCTGGGAGGTGGCACCCTGAATTCAGACTTCTAGCCTCCTAGACTGTGAGAGAATAAATTTCTGTTTGTTAACGCCATCCACTTGTGGCATTTCTATTATAGCAGTACTAGATAACTAAAACGCATTTATCACTGCTTGATATTTGTTATATATTTACTTGTAAATAGTTTATCATCTTTCCTCTGACTAGAATGTCAGCTTCATGAGAGTAGAGACTTTATCTCTTTTGTCCACAGCTATGTCCCAGGACTTAGAATAGTGTGTTGCACGTAGAATACCTGATGCTGTGTGTGTGTGTGTGTGTGTGTGTGTGTGTGTGTGTGTGTGTGTGTATGTGTATGTATATGTGTAATGAGTTCTATCCCACCCAATGTTTGTCTCCTAAAACTCACCTAGGATTGGCCCACATCCTGACCCAGCCACTCACTGGGGCAAGAGAAGCATCCCTCTAATATCTTTTCACAGACAACAAAACAGGCTGTACCATGTGCCAAGTTGCCCTAGCTCCTGCCCTCTGAAACCAGGGTTTTTGCTAACCTGTAAAGAAGGAGGGAGGAGGCAGAGGTGCAGGTGGATATTGCAGATTTTCTCCCTGAGACTAAAGAACTTAATGAGGCTAGTGTTACTTGGCACTGGGTTCTTGGTTCCTAAAAGTTCACCCCAACTTTTACTTGCATTAACTCCATGCACCTCACCAAGCCCAGCCTGCCAGGTCGGTTCAGAAGTTTCATTCTTGTATCAGGTCCAGCTGCACAGGGAGCCTGGGCGCTTGTGTTTTTCTCTGTCCTTCTCCACCCATCAACATTTAAAAGGGAGGGAATAAGAATAAACTAAACACTTCTTCCTAAAGGTGACCAGATGTTGTAGGCCTTATTTTGAAGACAGCACTGAATTCCAGACTCTGGCCTGCTGTTTTTATTTGATGGCTGGCAGTGAGGTTTGGAAAGAGCAGAGTGAAACCTGCAGCACCTCTGATCAAGTCTTTGGTGGGTAACAAGGGGAGAGGGTTTGTTTTTCCATGCCTGGTGGGTGTTTCCAGGCTTCAGACTGAGGTTTCATCCAAGCTTAGAAACAATTGCGTCCCAAGTACAAGGAAGTTTCAGAAGAACCTGTGTGTTAAACTTGTGCTAAACCAAGAGCCCTAGCATAGCGTGGGACAGTGGGATTTTTAACCCCTACTCCCTTATACGCTGAAAATTTTATAAAATGCAATAAAAAATGAATGTGTAGACCAGACTTAATAGTCTGACAGAGACTGGAGAAACCCTGAGAGTATGGCCCCCTGATACCCTTTTAACTCATTACCATGTCACTCCTGAGGCTCATCCTTCAGCCAAAGATTAGACAGGCCCCATAAAATAAAACAAGACTAAATGGGCACACCAGCCCAAGGGCAAGGATGAGAAGGCAGAAGGGGACAGGAAAGGTGGTAACAGGGAACCCAAGGTCAAGAAGGTGAGAGTGTTGACATGTCGTGGGGTTGGGAACGAATGCCACAAAACAATATGTGTATTAATTGTTTAATGAGGAACTAATTTGCTCTGTAAACCTTCATCTAAAGCACAATAAAAAAATTACTTGAATGAAGTTTTAAAAAAACGAATATCTAAAAAAATGAAGTAAAAGATGTGTAAAATGTAAGCCCAATTTTTTAAATTATTATTAGATAGATGTAAACTTACTGTGTCAAATTGCTACAAACTTTTTTTTTTTTTTTAAGGCTCACTCTCCATTTCCGGGGAGTCTCTGGGTGGTGCAAATGGTTAACGCACTTGGCTGTTAACTGAAAGGTTAGAGATTTAAGTCTACCCAGAGGTGCCTCAGAAGAAAGACCTGGAGATCTACTTCTGGAAAATCAGCCATTGAAAACCCTGTGGAGCACAGTTCTGCTGTGACACACATGGGTTGCCATGAGACAGAATCAATGGCAACTGGGTACTGGTTTCCATTTCTGAACTTAACTTGTTGGGAACCAGGAACAGTTGTGGACCCATCCCAGTTCTGCAGACCGTACATTTAATGTAGACTACACTTTTTAAGTAATAGTGTGTGGCATCAAGGATGTGGCTTTGGGCAACAGGGACCCTAGTTCAAGCCCTGGCTGATCCACTTACTGGTTTTGCTACTGGGACAGACCACTAAACTTCCATGAGCCTGTTTCCTCGTTTGTAAAAAGGAAATACGTCTTTTACAGGGTGGTTGTAACCATTGAATGAGATTTTATCTATCTTTTCATGTCTATCATGAAGCCTAGAAAATATAATGTGGCAGGGAGGGAAAAAATCAGCCCAGAGAGTATATCCAAAGTGAGCTGCTTTCTCTGGAGATAAACTCGGCTTGCAGAGCTCTGTAAGTTTCTAGACACCCGGTCAGGGTTGTCCACAGGCTTCTGTCGTTTTGGTCTTTGAGAGGCACTGACCATAGGAGAAGGCCCTGGTGGCACAGTGGTTAAGCATTTGGCTGCTGACCAAAAGGTTGGCAGTTCGAATCCACCAGCTCCTCCTTGGAAACTCTATGCGGGCAGTTCTACTCTGTCCCATAGGGTCACTATGAGCTGGAATCGATTCAACGGCAATGGGTTTGGTTTTTTTGGTTTTGACCATAGGAGGGCTTGGAGGGAAGAACTTTCTGTCTCCAGCTGTCATTCTGCTGCTGTCCTTGTTTCCCTGAACCCTCAAGGAGTCTCATTCCTGGTCTCCTTTTAGGAAAAGGCTTAGGAGGAGCTTCTGTTTCTTTCCTGATTTTCTCACCTGCATTCTGACTGGAGATGTGCTGCCAATGGGTTCTATACCAGTAACAATAAAACGACAATAAAAATAATTAATGATAATGACCTACCTTGCCGAGCCTTTGAAATGACATTTCAGCAAGAGTTCTCTTTGATGCTATCACAGACTATTTCATTTCTCTTTCTTGTGGTCCTGTAGTCCTGCCAAAAGTTATAACATTTAGACCTGGAGAAACGGAGCCAGGTTTCAACTTAATTGCTGCACTCTCACGCTATCTGCCCTGAGATGGGTCAGCCTAGTGGTTGCTGATGCCAGCTTCTACCACCCAGAAGCCCAGAGGGCAGGGATGGGATCTGGCATTTCAGGGCTAAGACACCTTCTGTCCTGGGAAATGTGGGGCAATGCTTGCTTGCAGGCAGAGGTCCTAGAAGAAAGAGCACTCACGAAGTGGCCTGTAGAATAGAATAATAATAATAGTAATAGTAACACTAATAATAACGTTTTGTTTAACCTTTACTAAGTACATGCTCTATGCCAAGCACTGCGTTAAGCGCTTTATATTTATTATTTCTTTGAATCCTCAAAGCCTATACAGTAGATGCTATTGTTTCCATTTTATAGATAAGGAAACAGCGGCTCAGATAGGTTAATTTATGTAAGGCCACCCAGTTAGGAAGTAGCAGAGCCATGGTTTGAAACCAGGCGTGTCTGACTCTGAAATCTGTGATTTTATCCCTACCTAGTGACTCTCAAACATAACTGGACATTAGAATCACTGAGGGAACTTTTACAAAATTCAGACGCCCAGGTGCTGCCCCAGACCTATGGAATCAGAGGCTTGGGTGATAGGACCAGGTGTCAGTAACTCACTGGTTTGCCAGAAGTGCAGCCCAGGCAGCTGAGCTACCTTGGCATCCGAGTCCAGAGTATACAGGGAGGGAGTAAGGACCTAGGGGTGGGGGATCAGGAAGACTCTTTCCGGTGGAGTTCTCCAGTTCCAGGAATTATCATTTCGTCCCTGCTTGGAAACCAAGCGTAGTTGCTGTGGCTGTCCTAGGTGAATTTGTCAGCTAGTGAGCTAAAATAAAGCCCCCCAAGAGCTTGTATTTAAAAGCAAAATGAATATGTGAGGCTATTCCTACACTCATTCACCAAATGTTTGCTGAGCGTCTGTTACGCAGTAGACCCTGTGTGGGGTGCTGGGGACACAAAGGAATTGAGCCTACAGGCCCGTACCAGACTCACAGAAGCCACGTAACAAAGGTTAACTGAATAAATGAATGAATTGGTTTTGCCATACATTTATTTAATGATACTTCACTGGCCAGACTACAGCCTACTAGTTTCTCCCACCTTCAGGTGAGCTGAGTCCGGAGGCTTTCTGTGGATAGCGCTATCTGTGAGGAGTCGCCCCAGGTGGAGGTGAAGCTGACCCCTCCCCCTTAGTTCTTAGGCTTGAGGAGAAAGAAAGGACAGGCACCACCTTTCCCAGAATGGAGGTGCACAGGTGCCTGGGGCTATTTCAGCCCATCCTTTCTCAGCATTGTGGCCTCATACAATGTTAGGATATTTCCTGGTTTCCTGCCCTGGCTGGCTGGAAGGATATTGAAAAGACATGACTTGGGCAGAACTACAACACAGGATATGGGATCCTGAAGACCCCACGGACTTCAAAAGGGCAGGGCAGCAGCTTGGTCACAGTTAAGTTTATGAACTTTGGGGTCAAACAGGCCTGGATTCAAATCTAGCCCCCCTCCCCCCAGTTACTAGCCACGCAACCCTGGCTCGTTAACTCCGTCGGTGTTCGCTGCAGCACCCTGGGCTCAGTGAATGTTTCTTTACTGGATAAGCTTCAGTTTCTTCATCTGTACAGCGTGGATAATTCTTGACCCCTAAGACTGTAAGGGGCAGTGATAGAATGCTCATCTTCCATGCTGGAGCCCCCGGTTCGGTTCCCAGTCAATGCACCTCATGTGCAGCCACCACCCGTCTGTCAACGGAGGCTTGTGTGTCGCTATGATGTTGAATAGGCTTCAGCAGCGCTTCCAGACTAAGACAGATGAGAAAAAAAGGCCTGGTAATCTACTTCCAAAAATCAGTCATTGAAAGTCCTATGGATCACAATGGTCCAATCCACAACCAATCATGGGGATGGTGCAGGACCGGGCAGTGTTTCGTTCCATTGTGCATGGGATCACCTAGAGTCCGGGCCAACTTGGCGGCAGCTAACAACAATAATGGGGTTGTAAGGATCACATTAAATCGTATCTCTAAGGAAGTGAGAAATTGGTACATAGGGGGCACTCGATGTATGGTGGTGGTGGTGGAAGTTGTAATTAAGGTGGTGGAGATGGAGGTACCGTCTCTGCTGAAGTAACTGGGGACTTTGCACAACAGTGCAGTGGAGACTCGTCAGAGCTTGGAGCTGGGAGAAGAGGCTGACTGAGATTCCCTTGGTCAGTTCGCCAGGGAAAGCTGTAGGGTGGTGGAGAGATTGGGGATGTTTGAAAAAAAAAAACCACATTAGCATAAGTTCTGGCAGAGACCAGCCCTGCCAAGTATTTAATTCAGCTGTTAAGTTAAGACTGGAAATGAAAGGGAAATTAAATTGCTATTGTGTGTCTAGGTGACAGTTTCAACCTCCGCCTATTGGCTCCAGGGTAAACAGTCATTAAGCGTGAAGGGAGCTGGTTCTCCTCAGCCACAAGCATTCTTGGAGGAGTGTGTGCTGTGTACTAGACTTTGTTTTCTTTTTTCTCTCCCTCCCTTTCTGCCTCCCCAGGTGACCTGGTCTCCCGTGCCATGCACCACATGCAGGGACGCCACCCCCTGTGTCCAGGCACCAGCCCCGCCCGTCAGGCCCGACAGCCACCACAGCCCATCACCTGGTCCCCCGATGCCCTCCACACGCTCTACTATTTCCTGCGGTGTCCACAGATGGAGTCCATGGAGAACCCCAACCTGGACCCCCCGAGAATGACCCTGAACAATGAACGGTAGGCATCCTCCCGGGGCTGAGCACCTTATGGGGCACACTGCCAAGTGTGTGTTGACTGAGTGACCAGCAAGGTGAGAAAAGAGCCCTGGGGCCTGAGCCCAGAGCAGGGCTGCATAGCAGACCTATGAAGAGATGGCCTGACTCAGGCTTGTGCTGGGGATCTGGGTGGGGGAAGGCCTGGCCTTGTGTGCGGGGGATTTTTTGCCCTGGGCTCATGCAGCACAGTGTCGCTGAGGCAGAGGTAGGCTTCAGACTCCATCGTGAGTTTGCCAGCTCTAGCATTCCCTAGCTGGGTCTCTCTGAAATCCAGCTGTCCCTTTTATATGATGAGGTGTTCACGCTACCTGGGAAGGTGGGAGTGAGAATGGAGTGAACTAGTGCTCTGAGAAAAAGCACTTAGGACAGTAGCTGGGTGGTAATGGCCCTCTGTCAGTGGCAGTGGTCTCCTCTTTAGATGACAATGATGTCACTGTTGTCATTGTCATTGTTAGAAGTCTTAGGCATATTTTGCCCCATCCGCTCGTTTTATGAATGAGGGAGTCGTGGCCTTGACAGGCTCTCTGAGTGATTTATCAACCCCGGAATCCAGGCCATCTGGCTACTCTTCTAGTGCTCTTTCAAGAGGTTCCCAGCCCTGTGCCAGCCCTGTCCCAGCTGGGGGCAGGACCACAAGAACAGATATACTGGATGTGCACTGCACAAGATGACTCAGTGAGGGGCGCAAATCAGGACTGCTCACTGAGCTGTCTGCACGTGATAAGGACCATGTCGGCCTGAAGACGGGATGCCTTTTCTAACCGATCTACTCAGAGGGCCTACATGCATACTCTCATTTAATGCAGACACTACTAGGCTCTTTGCAGCCCCATCTTACAGATGAGGAAGTGGATGCACAGAGGAGTTCAGTAACTTTCGAAATCACACAGGCTGTGCTTGTAACCACTACACCATACTGCCTGCCATTAACAGAAACCAAAAGCAATAATAGCCCAGTACACACACACAGTAGGTTTCCAGTAAATGCTACCACTGCTGTCATTCTTATAACATCATTGTTTTATTTCTCTGGGAGATGCCGGGTGTATGCAGGTGGCCCTGGGCCTAACCCAGAGCAGAGAAGGCAGCCAGTGGAGGCCCTGGCATCCTGAAGGAGTCAGACAGCAGGGAGGTGGAGCCAGAGTGCAGACCTTAAGCCCCAGCTGTTTCTGCTTTGTGGAGAAATTGTTGTGGTGGCAGGAGGTGGCTGGGAAGGAAAAAGGGTAAGGGAAGCATCTGAGGCGGAGGAGGAGGCTTGCTTGTTCTATAAGGATCTCAGGGTTGCTAGGCTGTGGCCTGGTCTCCCAAGCAAAGGTGACTGGAAGAGGAGAACAAGGAATCTTCTTTGGACCTTCTGCCCCAGAGGGCAGCTTAGCCCTCTGCTGTGACTGGGATTGTTGACCATGTACGGGGCAGGCAGGCTGCCAGGGAGGCACTCCCCTGCTGGCACTGTGCTAGGTCCTCTTGGACGTCATTGTAACATCCCTCGGGCTTTCTCCTGGGACTACTCGCAGTCCCCTGGTACTCCAAAGCACAGCATTATGATTTGATTTGCTTGTCTGTATGTGGTTGTAACAACTGAGTTTGAGTGGTCACATACATGTCTGTGTTTAAATATCTAATTATTTAAAAACCACACGGTGGCACAAACAAATTTGGAGCAAAGGTATTTTTCATGAATCATACCAAGTGAGTAGTAACAGGAAAAAAGAATTTAAAATCTTCACATTTTGGCTCTGAAAGGAGGTCACCCTAAAAATACCCCAGCAAGCAGACAGCCCGACAGCCCTGTGGCCTGGCACCTGGCTGCCAAGACCGGTCCTGCCCTCCCTCAGATGTCCTCTGACAGACCAGCACTGAGGACCTTGGAGAGCCCAGTCGGCACTTCCTGGGGGCACTGAGCTCACAGTACCACTGCAGGTTGGGGCCCATGTCCCCTCCAGGAGCCACCACCCTGCTGTCCTCACCAGAGCTTTGGGGAAACCCTCTTTCCTTGTACAAAAAGTAGTTGGAGTTTGTTAGGGTCCCAGTGAGACAGAGCTTTGCTTTTGTGAATTTGAGGATCATGTCTCTCTCTGCCTCTGCCTCTCTGTCTCTTCCTCTGTCTCTCCTCCCCTCCACCCCCTCAATCCTCTTTCATTCCCTTGAAGCTCCTTTTGACCTACCTCAGGAGCATGGGGGACTGAGTCCACCCAGCCAGAACTGGACAGAGCCTCTGAATCCAGGTGTGACAGTGGGTTGTCTGGCCCTGGAGGCCTTCTGTTTGGGGATTTGATGACTTCTGCATCTACTCTTCCACTGCCTAGCACGTGTGGGTTAAGTAGCTCAGTTTGGGGACATGGGTGCCACTCAAGTCTTTGCTCATCTGTTCACTGCTTTGAAGAAATGTTCCCTAATTCATTCCAATCAGGGTTGTGTGTGACCGCATCCATGCTGATAAAGGGAGGGGACATGTATTCAGCCCTTTTGTGTGAAGCTCATTGTGACTTTCCCAGCTAATGATGTGCCACTTTTGCACTGTTCAGTGGGGCCACCTCCCCAGAGTTACCTGGGATAAGGTGGGAAGAGAAGATGGTGACGGAGGGAGGCGCAGAAGTAGCCGGGGGTCAGGGTGGCAAGTGGCGCAGCTTTGCAAGGGCCAAGGAGAAGCTCTAACACCCCTCCATCCACTGCCTACAGCAAACTGGGCAGCATCAGGAAAAGAGCACAGCTTTGGGGGACAGAGGCCTGGATCAGATCCCACAGCCCATGCTGGGCCCTGTGCAAGGGTCTAACATGCCTCAGACTCCTCACTGGCAACATGATCTAAGTAATCTTTACCTGGCAAGGTTCCTCTTGAGGTTGAAATGAGATAACACATGTAAAAGTAGCCAGCTCTTCCTTTAAAAAGGCATTTCTACTACAGTGACCCCCGGCCAGCCTCTGTCCGAAAATATCAAATGAGTAGTATGATGAAATCTCGCACCGTCCTGCTCTATCCCACCCTCTCCCGCCTGGGAACCACATTCACGTAACTTTTATTACAGTATATTGTTATAATTGTTCTATTTTATTACTAGTTACTAGTAATTATTACTAGTAATTATTACTAGTTGTTAATCTCTTACTGTACCTAATTTATAAATTAAAGTTTATCATAGGTATGTATATACAGGGTTCAGTACTATCCACAGTTCCAAGCATCACAGGCGGTCTTGGAACGTATCCCCTGCAGATAAGGGGAGACTACCATACTTTTGTTTCTTTCATGCCCCACAACAAATCAGCAAGGTCTATCATGACCTCCATTTTACAAATGAGAACAGAGGGCCATAGGTCACTCAGCTGTAAGTGGCTGGGCAAGGATTCAAACCAGGCCTCTCTGACCTCAACAACCTTGCTTGTCACTGTGCCAGCCTATGCCCCTCCTAATTGGCCAGTGGGACCTTGTCCTGAAACTCTGAGACAAGGAGGGCGGGCCCTGGCCTGTGGGGCTGCCTTCTCTGGGGCCATTCCAGCCTCACCTGCCTCTTCTCTCCCAGGACACTTCCCTTGATGCCACCAGGGCCTCCCTGCCCTTTCCCAGGGTATATCCAGCAGCTCTGCATCACAGGCACCAGCTCAGCACAGGCCAAGGTCCACAATACAACTAGTCACAGCCCCTGCCCTGCAGGATGTGTCATCACCCAAGACCCAGCTCAGAAAGTGAAAGAACTTCCTGTCGTGGATCCAGGGTTTGCCAAGGGAGAGTGGGGAGGAGAATGGCCAACCATCCAGCTAGATGTGGCCCTCGCTGGTCATGCCTGGGGGAAGAGGAATGGACTAGCTGAAGCAGCATCCCGGATGGAGGGTAGCTCATTGGTCATCATCCTCCAGGTGCTGCCTGGGGAAGCGAGGACAGAGGCTATGTACACACACAGGAGGCCTGCCACCTCACCAGCCAAATTGTTGGGAGCACTTGTCATCAAGCAGAGAAGATGGAGGGAGCCAGATATGGTTAGAGGTGCAGAGGGGCTGAGGCAGAGAGAGGTGAACTGATGCCCTGCATCACAGCTCAAGTGCTGGAGGGCTTCAGGCTCACCAGGTGTCATTCCAAAGTGCATCAGCCACCATCTTCAGGAGAGAAGCTGTACCCTTGAGGAGAGGTCGGGCGGGAAGACTGGGAATGATGGGCTATTTGTCCCCAAACAAATCCATTTGGCCCTTGCCTCCTCCCCCCAGCCCTGCACAGTGCCCCTTTTGGAGAGAGGCAGACCTCAGAAGGCTTGGGACTTGCTCATGTTCAGGATGCTAAACCAGGAGGAGAGTGGAAGGCCTAGCCAGAGTCTGACTTGGAATGGAGCTTAGAAACATCTGGTGTTATGATTTCTCAACACCAGCAGGGTCACGCATGATGGACAGGTTTTAGCAGCGCTTCCAGACTAAGACTAGAAGAGAACTACCCATTGCCATTGAGTTGATTCCTACTCACAGCAACCCTATATGACAGAGTAGAACTGCCCCATAGGGTTTCCAAGGAGCGGCTGGTGGATTTAAACTGCTGACCTTTTGGTTAGCAGCTAAACTCTTAACCACTGCGTCACCAGGGCTCCGGAAGAAAACTAGCCAATGAAAACCTTGGGTATCTGTCTTAGGCTGGGTTCTCTAGAGAAGCAAAACCACTAAAGCATATAAATATATATATAGAGAGATTTATATTAAGGAAATGGTTCACACGATTGTAGAGGCTGGAATGTCTCAAGTCCGTGGGTCAGGATAGAGGCTTCTCCTGATTCATGTAGCTGCAGGGGCTGGTGAACCCAATATCAGCAGGTCAGAGAGCAGGGCTCTTGCTCACAGGCTGCGAAGATCGACAAATTCCAAGACCAGCAGGCAAGACTGAAGGTAAGCTGCTAGCTCAAGTCCCAAGAACCAGAGGGCAGATGAACAGGAGCCAGCTGCAGGATCCAGAGCAAGCAAAAGCCCATGAGCCTTGCCAGAATG